GGTGAGAGTGAGAGATAAGCGCTCTCCTCCGACCCACTGCGCCCTGCGGGCTCAGGGTGAGGGTGGACTGGTGGGTGTGGGGTGGGGGCCCCTCAGCCCGGGCGGTCACTGGTGAGGTGCTTGAGCGGAGACTCCATGGGGATCCCCCCACCCTTCTGGAGAGAAAGCTACCACCAAGACCCAGGCAGCATTCCGGGAGGAGACAGACAGTGCAGAGGCCCTGGGCCCACGTCCACTGTGAGCCGAGTGGGGGGACACCAGGCAGAGCAGGCCGAGTATTAGTCGAGGCCAGCAGCCTGGGTGGCAAAGCCCACCGGGTCCTGGCCTAGGTTTTACATTGCTTTTTCAGCTTTATTGAGATAAAATCGACCCATAATAAAGTCACGACCTTTAGCTATGCCGTTTGCATAGTTCTGAGCTGTGCGCAGGGTGTAGAGCCACAGGTAACGCGGCGGTCAGGCGCTGTCAGCCTCCTTCCGGCCTGGACTGGGTGGCTGCGACTGCCCGCCTTGGCGCTGGCTCTGCCTCTGCTGAAGGAGCAGCACAGTGTGCACCTGGAGCAGGCGGCCTCCAGAGGGGCTCCTGGGGCTCCTGCTGCCCTGCCACCCACAAGGTCACGAGGCTGCTCCCCGAGAGCTGTGGCTTCCGGGCTGCCAGAACCCTCTCCTGCCGCTCCTCCCGTGAGCAGCACCACCTTGGCCAGCAGCCTGGCCCAGCGGCCCGGAAGGAAGCACGGCATCCACCCGCGTGAGGGCGGAAGCGGGCAGTGGCTGCTGGCCGTGACCCTGCCTGCAGAGTTACACTGCGACTGCGGCGGGGCCTCGTCCACGGCTCTCTGTGCAGCAGCTTGCTCTTGCCAGAGCCCGTGGGCCTTTGCTCGCTCAGCAGAACACGCAGGTTGCCCGGTGCCACGAGTCCCATGCCCATTTTTCCCTCCAAGCTGTGTCCCTGTCTGAGTGACCTCCATGTGTCAAGTGTCCGCCGCTGTGGTCACTGGGCTACGTCCAATTCTGACTGTAATGAGCAGAGCTGCTTCAAAATTCAACAGCAAACCTTCGGGCGAACATATGTTTTCCTTTCATTTGGACAAAGCTGTAGGTGTGGGACTGCCGGACCTCAGGAGGACACGCGCTTCACTTTGTAAGAACGAACCCATCTGCTCTGCAGTCTGCCCTCCTGCAGCCCTCCTTCCACAGCCACACGACTGCAGCCACGCCAACCACGGAAGCCCACTTTGGGTGCTCTGTGGCAGGGTGGAAGAGTCTCTCACTTTCCTTTTTCTTTTTCTCCTCTCCTCTTCCCTCCTCCCTTTCCTCCTCCTCTTTCTTTTCCTTTTTCTCTTTGGATTCAGTTTTTAGAGACAAGGTCTCACTATAAAATGTTATCAAAACATATGGTGAATTTTAATTTTATTTGTTTATTTTTTAAATTTTTTTTTATTTATTTGTGTGTGTGTGTGTGTGTGTGTGTGTGTGTGTGTGGCCAGCTCAGCCCACCAGGGGGCGGGGCTGGCTGGCATGTGGTGCTGGGGGATTGAACCGGGGTCCCTGGGCTTTGCTAAGCTTGTTCTATGTAGGTGCTTTAGACCACTGAGCCATCTCACCAGCCCTATGGTGAATTTTAAATTAAAAAAAATTATCACAGAAAAGACACACTGCCACTAATTCCCCACAAAACGCTGGCCCTCACCTTGAAATCGCTCATCCCATTGCTCTTGCCACTTTTCAGAGCAGCTCTGGAGCCCTCTTCTGTCCTCAAGGGGTGTGATCAAAAATGCAGTGAAGGCTGCTGCCGAACGCCACCCAACAAAAAAGCAGCTCATAGTCCGCCACACTGCAGCTGGGTGTGGAAGCACACACCTGGAACCCCAGCACTGAGGAGGTGGGGGACTGCCACGAGCTCGGCGTGGCCTGGGCTACGCGGTGACACTGACCAGATGGCAACGCCGTCCGCTTCTGGCTCCAAGACAAAGGTAAGTGCTTTGAATGACTCTGCACCTGGCGGCAGCCTCGACACTGCGACGGAAGGCAGGACACTTCTAGAACTACTCCAGAAAGAGCCGGCAACGACGGAATGCAGGTTGAAAGTGACGGAGAGTATGTAGGGGGATTCGTGGTAGTGTTCTCACTGTAAAAAATTGTTTAAAATGTAAACACTCACCATATTTTTCTATCGAATGTGGCACGTAGCCAGACTGCCCTTGAAGTCAAGATCTTCCTGCTTCAGCCGCCTGAGTGCTGAGATTACAGCCCTGCATCACCACCGGCTGAGCAGGGACTTGCTTTTCTCTTTTTCTTTTCTTTTTCCTTCAGTGCTGAGGAGTGAGCCCAAGTCCTTCCCACTGAGCTAAATCTCCAGCCCCTTTTTACTTCAAGAAAGGGCCGAAGTTGCCCAGGCGGGACTGAACTCGTCTCCTCCTGCTCTGTGCGGGTCAGCGGCGGCCACAAGCTGCTGCGCGCCTGGCTGTGTGCACGTGCCTGCTTCCTCCTTGGCTGGCACATCCATTCAAGGTTTTGCTGATTTTAGAGAGGCGACTGTTGCCCTTCTCCTAGTAGCTTCTAGGGGCAAGCAGGCCACAGCTGCTGGCCAGAGCTTCAGTGCTGTCCAAAGGAAGATGAGAGCAGCTGGCCACGCAGGCTGCTGGACACGTGAAATGTGGCCCGTGTGACCAAGCAGTGGGATTTCATCTTCTCTATTTTTGGGGTACCAAGAGTCAAACTCAAGACCTCACACTTCCCAGACAGGCGCTTGGCCACTGAGCTGTATCCCTGGCCAGAAAAGGAGCTTAGCTCTTTACTTGTCTAAAGCGTATTGTGATAAAACACACACGTTTACCACGTTAGACGCAGTGTACGGTTCGGCGCCCTCAACACAGCCTCATTGCTGTGAGGCCAGCTCCAAGGCTTCCCCATCGCTCGGGCTTTGGGTCTGTCTCCACAGAGGCACTGTT